TCATAGATGTTGGGAACCAAGAACAAGCATTCACTTCAAAGTTCAAATTTAATAAAATAATACCACTTCCTATGATATTTAGCTGTAGTGCAGGCCTGCAGTTATTCCTGAGATGTGGCTTGCCAGAAGACTCTGCCTCCCACAGTGCAACACAAGTCTAACTAAGCACTGGTAGGTGTCTTGGGAATGAGAAATACTTTGTTTCCCTATATAAAGAGTGACAGGATCAGGCTCTTAGGCAGTGATTGCAGAGTATTAAGGAGGCAATTATTAATGAACTTGTATAAAAGGAAATTTTGAGAAATTCAAATGGAAACTATTTTGATTATGATTTTAGAGAGTCAGAATGAATGTTAAATCCTGATGCCCGAAGGAAACAATTGGCATTTCTCAATCAAAACATTTTATAATTTCAATTAAATTAAATTTTACAGTTCCAACTTTTTATCCCTCATTTCTTGTCACAGTAAGTATTGTAAATATTGCCTGTGGCAATAGAAATTATAATATTTATTTTAGGTTTCATTCTCAGCTACAGTAAATGTATAGCATTCCTATTACGACTGTAGGGTTACGAAGATTCTTACCAGTTAGATGATGGATTACTCTGAAATTATTTCAAGGCTGCGTCTTCAACGACCAAAAATGGAAGCATTTTTTTAGGACCCTCTGAATGTTCTAGTTACCTTAGAAATTTCTACATATTAAACTCAAATGGATAATTTGGGGTTTTTTTTGTTGGTTTTTTTTTTTTTTTTTTAGTCAGAGCATGCAAAATTTGAAATATTTGAATGGGAACTTTATATGGCATAATTTTAATCAATTTTCAAAAAGCAGCAGTTTGTCCAGAAACTGGGAACACTTGGTTTTCTTCCCCAGAGTTAGTGATGAAAAATAAATTGTAATTCTAAAATTCTGTGATCGTAAAAGCACTTCATCACACATGATTCTACCTATAAAATTTGAGGGGTCCTCTGTGGTATAGAATGACTCAGATGTTTGAGTGTTTGCTAACTTATTCATAGGTCTGCCCAGATTTATTTATAAGTAGCATTGGATCCCTTCATTTCATATTTGCAGCAAAAAGCAGCAGTAACATCTCTGGCCTTGATGCTAATTTACTTTAAGGTCCCTTTAGCTGATTGTGGCAGCACAAGGGAGCCTTAAAGTAGGTGTGAATTACATCCTATCCCACTTGAAGTTTAAAAATAAATCAAAGAAGGGCAGCTGGCAGCATTTTGAAAGGCTCCTTGCCTTACTCACCCTTCACCTCCCACTAGGAACTGTTCTTTTTTTTGCAATTTAGTATTGGCTTGCAGTGGAGCTGACTAATGTCTGCTGTTTGCTAGAAGACCCCTCAAAGAGCTTTACTCCATCTGAAGAAGTAGACCACATCCTGTTGCCTTCTGTGCAAATGTGAAGATCCCTGACCCTGCTGAAGCAGCACCATTCAGTTGTAAAAAGAGGGAAGACAGAATGTGGACCTATACTAGCTGCTTTGTGTGAAGTGCTGGAGGTTGCTGGGGTCTGTCCAATATCCTGAAGAGTGCAGAGATCCTGGGAAAAGGGCAGTAGCTCTGCAGAAGCACTAAGCATATTTCCTGGCAGAAAACCCCAACTGCCAATGGTTTTGCAGACAAGAGGTTGAGAGGAAGGATTACTTCCTCTGCCCCCTCCCCAGGTCTGGCAAAGGCATGCAGAGTGCAGCTGGAGGAGAAGAGCCAGCTGGTATGATACCATGCTAGATAAAATGCCAAATGCACTATTAAGCAGAAAGGGATCCTTCTTGATCCTCCTTTCTATGTTTCATTATGCTGTGTGCATTAAGGAAGGGAAGACTGCAGCACTCCCAGTATCTCTTTCTAGAAAGTCAACAGGAACAAGCTGGTAGTTGAATCAAGGAAAGGAAAGCTTAGAGAACTTCCTCCAGTAGTAGGAACTTTTTGTATACTTTAATTTTTATGCTTGTGTTACCTGATCCTATCCTACCCATCTTATCTTATGAATGTCTTATGGCTGGATGCAGTTTAAGTTTTGAGAAAAGGTTTGGGATAGTTCCTGTTTAAACCCAGACCAACTTGCTTAGCTTGCTAAGTCATCAGGCTTTCATACTGCAGAGCATGTTTTTTTGGGACTGGACGTCCTTATTCAATTTTAGATACTCTTAGATTTCAGTCTTCTAGATTCCAGAAATATGTATTAGAATATAAACGTAAGCAGACACTTTTGACTTTGAAGTTAATTTTGTTAACCCAAGGTTAGCTCATACATATTTGTTAGCTATGGAACATTTTGGGAAAAATAAATTAATTGTAGAAATATGCCTATTAATATTGGAGTAACACAGTCTAGTGTGTTTGGAACCTTCTTTATTTTACTTCAGTTTAGCTTCTATCTCTCAATAAGGTTATATGGAGAGACATATCTGCTATTTGGTTTGAGAGGAGGTTTTTAGTGTTCTGGTGCCACCTATTGAATTCTTTTCCATTGCATCCTATTCCTTTGCTATAAAAAATGATATAATAAAGTCTTAGAAGAGTGGGAGGCTTTTAAAATACTTAAAAGGGCTTAAAACTGCCCTGAAATTCTGTTAAATAAACCTCATGCTATATTTAAGCTAGTACATTATTCCTAACTTTACAAGGGAGATAATGGAGAAAATTACTTTCACAGGAATCTTAAGTGAGTGAGGCAATCAGAAACACATCACAGTGACAACCTCACGAATCCTCTTCTGATCAAGTTATCTTACTTTACTTGGAAAAGGAAATCTTGAAATATACATTTTTGTCTCAATCATGTTTGCATTACAGATCAGTAAATACCTTGAAAAGCATTTCTAAATGTTTCATTACTGTCTGAGCAGGGATTGGTTTAGGACTTTTTCTGCAACTCCTCTTATTCTTTTCTTTAAAATGGTTATTTAAGTGAAAATTGATCTGCGTAGGTCCTCACCGGAAATTAATTTTGGGCTTGAGCTTTACTTACTGTGCTGAAACAAAGTGAGATTTGATTCTTCAGCTGAGAAGCCAGTTAAAAATCATATTATGAAATTTAGAGTGACCAACTGCCAGCTTTCAAAAACTGAATTTAAAAATCGTGAAGATGCATTGAGAATGAATTGTCTGGGGTAAATATGTAAGAATATACATGTTAAATTTTATAAAGTTCCTTGGCAGTTTGATGTAAACAGATTATAAAATTGCTGTTAAAAAATGTCCAGCCCTACTGGAGATTTCAGATGCTGAAGATAAATTAATATTTCAGAAGATCATCTGTGGTTTTGTTTCTCTCAGGTTAGGAAGCTTCATCCTCTGAGAATCTGGTTGGAGTTGTGTGACTAGTGGAGTCCCTCAGGGGTCGGTACTGGGACCGGTGTTGTTCAACATCTTCATCAACCACCTGGATGAGGGTATAGAATGTACCCTCAGCAAGTTTGCTGATGACACTAAGCTAGGAGGAGTGGCTGACACACCAGAAGGCTGTGCTGCCATTCAGAGAGACTTAGACAGGCTGGAGAGTTGGGCGGGGAGAAACATGATGAAATTCAACAAGGGGAAGTGTAAAGTTTTGCATTTGGGGAAGAACAACATGATGTCCCAGTACAGGTTGGGGGCTGACCTGCTGGAGAGTAGTGTAGGTGAAAGAGACCTGGGGGTCCTGGTAGACAGGAGGATGACCATGAGCCAGCAATGTGCCCTTGTGGCCAAGAAGGCTAATGGCATCCTGGGGTGCATTAGAAAAGGTGTGGTTAGTCGGTCAAGAGAGGTTCTCCTCCCCCTCTATTCTGCATTGGTGAGGGCACATCTGGAGTATTGTGTCCAGTTCTGGGCCCCTCAGTTCAAGAAGGACAGGGAAGTGCTTGAAAGAGTCCAGCGCAGAGCTACAAAGGTGATGAAGGGAGTGGAACATCTCCCTTATGAGGAAAGGCTGAGGGAGCTGGGTCTCTTTAGCTTGGAGAACAGGAGACTGAGGGGTGACCTCATCAATGTTTACAAATATGTATGGGGTGAGTGTCAGGGAGATGGAGTTAGGCTTTTCTCAGTGATAGGACAAGGGGTAATGGGTGCAAATTGGAGCACAGGAGGTTCAAGGTGAATATCCAAAAAAAATTTTTTACTGTGAGAGTGACAGAGCACTGGAACAGGCTGCTCAGGGAGGTTGTGGAGTCTCCTTCACTGGAGACATTCAAAACCCACCTGGATACGTTCCTGTGTGATGTGCTCTAGGTGACCCTGCTCTGGCAGGGGGGTTGGACTAGATGATCTTTCGAGGTCCCTTCCAACCCATAGGATTCTATGATTCTATGATCTTTGCAATCGCAGGAGATTAACATATGTTGAGCTTCTGTATCAGAGATGAGAGACACGGTCTTGATGCTGGCACAGGGGAACACACAACAGGGGAATGGAATATGTGTCCTACATAACACTCCATAACACTGCAGTATTTTACCATAAACATGGATTTTTGTTGTAAAGTTTGAAGTTTAGTTTCAAAAGAGTAGAGCTACAACAGTTGTGAAGTACCATGTAGGGAAGCTGAAGTAAAAGAGAAATTATAAAGAGTGATGTACTGTCAAAAAAACACACATAAGCAAAAAAAAAGCAACAAACAAAAAACAATAAAAGGGAGAAAGGAAGAACCAAATGGGTGCATGAAAACTTATGGGCAGTTACAGCATGGTGTGTGTGAATGAGTGGAAGTTTGTTCCTTGCTGAAAGCAGGCTGTGCTAGGGAGAGTTGTCACCCTCTGTTGATATTGGTTGTATTTGTATACAGTGCTGTATGATGATGCAGAAGATTTTGAAGGTGTTAGTTTTTTGGTATTGCAAAATGTGTTATTAAACATGAAAACATGTAAATATCCCACAGTCAAATCTGTCTGGATAAACATGGTTCAGAGAAAACTGTACAAACCGCTATTCTTTTCCTACTGTAGATTATCTGACTTTCATGCATTTCTCATCTGGTGATATCTTTTCCCTACTGTGCAACAGGGGATGAAAACCTGGCAAATGCCAGCTCTCCCTCCTCCGTGTCACCTCCACCTGCACGCTCCACATCACTCTCACCTCCAAGCACCACTGAAGGTAACAGTGAATTTGAGACAGCAGCATTACTGCTCCTCCTGTTCCAGCTGAGCTGGCATTCACTACAGCTTTCCTGATGCTATTTCCACCCCTCAGGCCACACAGTGCAGTCCGCTGGCTCAAGGAGAAGTTATTTTTCATGCAAACAGTATCAGTCCACATATCCTTTGCATAATATTTTTGGGTCTGTTTATTGCTGTATGCCACTAAATATTACTTAAAAATATGCAGTTCCCTGGGGAAGGCTCAGCTGATAGTTGGGAGAAAGGAATGTGGTTTTTTTCGTATTTTTTACATATGATCGTGTTTAATTCCTTGAAAGTTTAATTTACACTTTCTTTTTTTGTTTGTTTGTTTTTTAGGAGTTGTGTCAGCAATGAGTACACCTGGTAAGATACTTTTAATTTACATTACAGAACTGTATTGATGGGGTTTTCTGATAATTTCTTCTTTCCTTCTCCTATACACACTTATCTTGCAATGTGTTTAATGCCTTTTCATTCAACCCAATAAAATGAAATATGATGTCTTCAGAGACAAAAGTTTTCAGACAAGTCTGGTTTTGAGTCCTGAATTTGAGTATATTTTAATATACATCATTTAGCATGGAAGAAATGCAGTCAGCACCAAAAAGGATTGTAGTGGATGTTCAGCTAATGCCTGTTGGACCCCCTAACACCCTGAGCTTACTAACAAATCCACAGTGCTTCAACACAAGAGCAATCCAGCACAGGGGTCCCCTGTTGTGTGCAGCTTTGTGTCTCTCCTTGACTGGCAGCCTCCAAAGCATTAGTGAAACTGCTGTACCTCTCACCACAGGTGTCTCTCCTGCAGACAGCACATACCTCTCCACGCACGCAGGCTCCACCCCTGCCATGGGACTCAGCAACCCAGCACACAGCAGCACTGCTGCCCTCACCACACGCACTCCCATTGCCTTCAAGAATGCTTCATCAGGTTTGCTGTCTTCCTTTGATGCCACTCTGCCCTCTGAACTGTAGGGGAAAACTAAGTAATTATGGTAGGGGAAAATGAAGTAATTCAGCGTCAGGGTAGCCTTTTCCAGCTTATGGTTCATCAAATAGAAAAAGTATCTGCAATTTGGCATAGTGGCAATACCAGAGTTGTTTCCAGGATTTGGTATCTGATTGCCAATTCTCGTAGTCATCAAAGTAGTATCAAAATGCCAGCTGCTATCAACAAGGCTGTTGCCAAAGCAAGAAAAATGAACCTAAAAGAGAATGTAGAAACCTGTCAGTGGTTTATTTATAAGCAAGGAGATAAATACTGAGATACAGTAATATAGTGATATAATACATAGTAATATAGTGAGCAAGGTGTGTGATCTGGCAAATGAACACTACTGGAGTTCTTCTTTCTGAAAGAGCACAGGCAGTATTCATGATTGTGTTTTACTGTAAGAACAGAGCAAAATGTTTCAGTTTGTCTCAGTTCACAATTATTAATGCCTTTTTTATGTTGACTCCATCCTGGATGTTGCCTAAATAATTACAAATAAAGAATTTTCCTTGTACATTGTGAAATTCATTAGTAAGTGGTATATTCCTAAGAGCTTGCTTTCTATCTAAACAGAAATACTGGTTTATTGGATATCTTAACATTTTTCTTTTAGCATTCCTCTCTAAATTGCACCCTAAGAGAAAAAAGAAGTGGAGAAGGGCTGTAGTGTAAGACGTTTCTAATGACGTAGCCATACGAAATAACGAATTTTACTTTATAACACTGATATGTTGTTTATTTCCTTGCAGATTATTACAATTCAACATCCTTGCACAGCACCACCTCACCAACCAGCACGCCAGCAAACACTGGGACCTTCCTCACTCACACAATAGGTGACAAACTTGCACACAATTATAGCAATTATGATACTGCAAGCACAGCCAGATTTGCTATTTGTCAAGCAAGTGAAAAATAGAAATTATTTCTACACAGTGGAATAACAAGAGAGTAAATCAATACTCCTCTTGAAATTCACAGAAATTTGCCCAAGCAGCAAAGATTATGAATACTTCCACAGATCTATGTTCTCTGGTTTTCAGTGGCTTCCCTTTTGTTTCACTCAGTATTAACAGTTTCTTGGGTGTTATTATTGCAATTTGGCTGCAAGGAATTGCTTCTGTCAGTAAAATATGTGTGCACTTGAGCAAAGACATCCAGGAGTTGGACTCTTGCCATCTTTGTAAGTGACCTTCGAGTAGCTGTGGGCTGCTGTTGATTGAGCTTAGCTTTTAGTTGTGGGTCTTCTGCCACGAGCCATCTTGGAAACTCTCCACTGGATCCTCTGTTTACCCTCCCACTGGGGGCACTACTCAGCCAAATAAGCCCCAGCTTGGAGGGTTGCAAACCTAGGGCTTATCTTCTACAAAAAAAAAGTAGATATCAGTCTCTTTTGGTAATACTTACACCTTAGTATATTTGAAGTAGTTGTTTACAGTTGCTTAAGCTTTCATGCAGGCTTTTCAAATATCAGCTCATAATTTTTGAGGGGCATTTCAGTGTAAAAATAGTTGTAAAATGATCCGTACTCTTGCATAAATCTTCTTCCAAAGGTAGGAGTAGCTGTACAAAAAGTGGTAAATGTTGTTTCTTTAGTCACATTGGATACTGTTCAGTTAGCCATTCCATACTGTACATGAGAAACAACGATATTTTATCATACCTCTATGAGAATGCGTCATTTAAAAAAAAATACTCTTGTGTAATTTTGTATGCAGAGATGTTATTAATAATCAGTTTGATTTGTAGTGAGTGATGGCATTGGAAAATGATGAAAGACGTGATCCTTGAAATAATTAGTTAAATTGTGTCATATGTAGCTGATGTTTTTTTCCCTTTTTCAAATGTGAGTGGAGTGCTAAATACAATTATTTGAATTGAATATACTGAAGAGATTTGGGCAGTACCAGTCACCCTTCTCCAGTGCTCTGGAAAAAAAAACACACCACAAACTTGCTGAGCTGCATCTTCATTTTGTTTTCTTTCCTTATAGAAACTCCCACAGTGACAACTACAGAACCTTGTGGTAAGAACGAAATCTCTTATTTTTCTCAGTCCTGAAATTTGACCAAATCAGTACATCTAAATACAGAAAACTGATCAATAAGGCTAATCAGTTAGCATCTTAAATTATTTTATGAACTGCCTTCCAATCCTGGCAGAGTAGAATTGAAGTTATTAACATTTCTGTCTTCTCATCTCTATTTACGATTCTGTTAAATTGCCCTGCAATAACTAGATTGTTGATATCAGGACTGCGGTTCACTAGGCCCTCTGGAATTTTTCCCCATCATGCTGATAATCACCTACTGCAAACTGTAATCCCTAACTTAAATAAAACTAAAGTCTGGGCATTGGTTTATCTCTCTGCAGAATTAGAGACAGCTTGTTTCTAGTATTCAGGAATAGACTTTAGCTGTTATGTGCTAGATGGTTATGAAATGTTTTGAATAAGAAAATTTGAAATTTCTGTTCAATCAAACAATTTAATGTGTCAAAACAAGATATTTCACTTTGAACTGATATTTTAAGTTAATGCAGATCTGGTTCTGAAATGTTAATATTTTTAATTATTTTGTTTTCCTAACAAGGTAATTATTTAAAAGAATAATTTCCTCAGTTAATTTTCTGTTTTGACTAAACAATTATTTTGAAGTAAAAGATAGATTAAAAAAAATCGAGAATAAGGAGTGGGTAATTGTGCTGTATTTTTTGATTGTTAAAAAACAGATGGTGCTGAAGATGCCATAAAAAAATGAATGGTTCTTAAAATTTGTCATTGTTTATTGTTTTATCTTTTCCTTTTAGATGATATTGTCTACAGCATAGAAAGCATAAGAGATGGGAATGACATGGCTAAAGTTACCCTGAAAAATCTCAGAAACAACAGACAATACGTTATTTTGGAGACTAATGAGACCTTAAGTGTGAATTCCAGCACAATCCGAATGCAGAGATGCATGAGATACACACTTAAAATTGAAAAATGTGCAGACCAGTATCTTACTATTCCACCTGGTGGGTACAGAAGGGTTGTGGGTTTTTTGTTTGTTTTGTTGACTTACAGTGATTCAGCTTTCCTGGATTTCATAGTCTACTCTGGTCCCTTTTCAGAGAATCAGACAGAAAGTTTTCATACTTTGGGCTTGGTTTGTAAGATACTTTGCATTTTGAGGCTGCACCTTAAAACTTCTCAGTCATTTCTTAAAGTAGGATATAAAAGCCTAGTAATTTATTTGTTGCAAAAGAAAAAAGGCAGCTTTAACTATGTTGACCATATCCAGCATCCAGTACTATCAAGACCAGCCAGCACTTGAAAGCTGCTGTTTATGGGTGTTTTGTTCACTGAAATGATTGTTGGATTAAAAGTTTCAATTATTATTTGAATGTCAGCACTGTCTAAATCACATTATACGCTTTTTCAATTTTTGCTTTCCATTTCTGTTAAATTCTTTGTGTGTTATTCTGTGCCAATTGTATCTTCATATTGCAGAACAAGTCAACAAATATAAAAGAACAAATTGCTATTTAAATAATCAATATATAGGCAATGTCACAGTGACATAAAATATTAAATCTTTTCAGACAGCAGCAAGGATCCTTTTCAAGTTGACAGTGAAACCAACACATCTGCAAAAATATGTTGGGAAAACTCATTGGCCTGTGCTAATGTGACTGTGAGCTGCAAAGGTGGGACACTTCTAAGATATTTTAAAATTGATTATTTATTTATTTATGTTAATGTTGTCTTTTGACAAGAGACTGGCAGATTTAAATTAATTGTGTCATTCTGAGAAAAGAGTTGCTCAGAATTTCTGGTATTGCCAAATTGGAGACATCCCAATCTGCAGATCTGGGGAAAGTTCAATCTCAGAGAGCTCATTTCATGAGTTTACCAGCTTCACAGGTTGCAGATTTCTGAAGATTTTCAGGTCCTGACTGATTGTCTGAAGAGGAGCTGAGTCTGTGAGCTAATCCCTTGCAGACTACTTTGGCAGCTGGATCTGCAGGCAAGAGTGCAGGATCTTGAAGCTGGCCAGCCTGAAGAGACTCCAAGACATCTAGTGTGGTAGGGAAGATATGGATGCTGGATGTCCTCATGTGTCTCAGTAAAAACATGATGAATGTCGTGGGCTGGAGATTTCATGTTTCAGGGAGCTGAAGAGCTAAGAACCACTTCAGGGTTCTACCAGACTCCCATGAAATGTTTTGCTTTCTGTGGGAAAACTATTTTCTTAGAAAGTCAAATCATGTGAACTTTATAATGAATAACCATGGTATAGAAAATCCCAGTTAAAATGGTACTATGTAGTTTTGGAGTTGTGAAAAATATTAATAAAATATTAATTAAAATACTATTAAAGCTCTTTTTATGTCTACAGGTTTTCCAGGCTTTACAGAATTAAATAAAAATTGTGAAGAGCTGAACACTTTATCACCCAACCATAACTACACATGCACTGGTACCGCACATTTTTTTGAAAAGAAGGTTGTGAGCCAAACCTTCATGATAACAACAGATTATGGTGGTAATTGTAATGCTTATTTTTACTTTCTATTCTACATACTTCTGGAAAACCCTACTATAAATCCCATTAGCTGTGTTTCCTGGGGTTGAACATGTATTTTGAGCAGCCTGCTCAGCCACTTTCAGGTTCTCATCCAGCTCCTCCTGTCTGGCCTTCTGCACCTGTACTTGTTCTTTGACTGCAGTCACAGTCTTTCTTTCTCTCTCTAGCCCCAGTCTCAGAGCCCCGGTCTCAGTCTTCTACTCTGATGCCTTTCTCAGCTTCTCCCAGAGATTGTAGTGGGGGGTTTTTGTTTGTTTGGGGTTTTTTTTTGTGTGTTTTTTTTTGGTTGTTGTTTGTTTGTAGTTTTTTTTGAGGCTGAAAACATGGCCGAGTGTAAGGAGGTTTGAGTAAAGAACAACAATCACAGCAAAAATAAAGTGCAGGCCTAGTCAAAAACAAGTCTTAAATTCTTGATTTGAAGAAAGATGTGATAGAATAATTGCAAAGAATGTCTCCAGATAAAATTATGTGTTTTTCAAAAATCAACCTAAATCAAGTAACTGGCAAATAAAAATTCAGGCCAAACATTTAAAGTTAAAATTATAAGGAAATCAAACCAATGGTTGGAAAACTGTGGTAATTGTTCTGAATTAATTAAATTTTATATGATGCTTTTACATACACACAGTTTATACTTATGTGTAATTTATTTGAATGAAATACACTACTAAAAATATTACATACTGTTGGCATCTTGCTTTAATATCCAATGAAATTAAATTTAATTAAAGTAGGTAAAAAGAGGAATATTCTGCATTTTCATTCAAACATTTCCTTGCCTCCCTGTTATTTTACTTTCACAACAGCTCCAGAAGCAGCAGAAAATGTTACAGTAGAGAGTGATGCCAGACATGTATCAGTTAGCTGGAAGAAACCCAGTGACCTTTCAAAGGGCCCTATACATGGCTACAAAGTACAATGCAATGAGAGTGGTAAGTCTATGTTGCCTCAGTATCAAATAATTCATTGTGTGTTTTAATATTTACAGAGCACTGAGCATGATACAGTGGTAAACCACACAGGAATCTCTTCAAACTACAGAAATTTTTGTTTGTTTTGTATACAAACTTTGCTTTGCGATTGTTCAAGTTGAACCATGTGGTAGCTCAGTGTACCATTTCAGGACACAACTCTCTTGCCTTTCTATTCTCATGCTTCTTGTATTAAGAATAAGTTATGACAAGACCATCAGTTGCCTGATTAGTTTGTAGTGGTCCTCTGTCTGAGAAGCTGCTCCTATAGCTGGTTAACACATTCTCTGAGAAGACAGGGACCTGTCTTCTAAGTAACAACATATGTAAAAGTCAGGGGTCCTAAGTATGGCAGTTAGCATATACATGTTTAGATAGGCAAAGCCACGTGATTGTCTTCTACTGCATGGTCACTCCTTTCAGATACACTGTTTTAGGCCACCTTACATTTAGATGGGTAAGTCTGTATACTGGGACCATGTTTTTCCCATGTGAGCTTTTCTTCAAAATTAGGACTGGAAAATGATTTTTTAAAAATTAAGAGCCTGATACATGATTTCAGGAAATATATTTTTAGGTTTAAGCTAATCCTGGGTTAATTCATTCTTTCTCCTCACATACTGCATGTTTTGTAAACCTAAACTGCCACAGGAAACAAAGACTGTTTTGCTCCTGTGCTTCCCAGATACAAATGATCTCTCCCATTCTCCATGCCCTGGATGTGACCATTGCCCAAAACGGTGGCAGCCCCATGCACCAGTTTCTGTGATTGGTCTGGCTTTGGCCATGTAGGATGCTGGGGTGCTGGGGAGGTCACCTGTGAAGAAGCTGGAAGGAAACATGGAAAGACCTTTGGTCTCCAGTTCCCCGAGCCACCAAAGCCCCAGCTGCAGTGTGGCTAAAAGCTTCGCTCATGTTGCTTCTCGTGCAATTCCTTTCTGTCCTCCTTACCACTGCTGAAGGCAAATGACATCTCTTGCATCATACCAGAACAGACTTGCCCACTGTGCAGAATGACTTTTGACATCTGTCTACTAACTGCTTCCCAAGCTCAAGTATCAGCCTCTTTTTATCAAGGTGCTTTATGTTAGTTTTTAATTGCACCCATTTAAATGAAATACTGAGAAAGTGAAAAAAACAAAACAAACCAGAACAAAATCTTTCTACCTTTTTGGTTAGGGAATATATTTCTTCTTCCTGAACCTTCAGTTGGCATTAGTGAGCAAGACAAACCAATCAAGTACAAGGTATTTAAAATAGAAGTACTCATGACTGCAGTTTCAGGTAACTGATGAAGTGTAAGAGCTCCTATGCTCCTAACATAAATTTCATTAATTAATTTAATCTCTTATTTTTCTTAAAGAGGTTAATTATATCAGCATGACCAACTTTATTTGCTACAACTTAGAACCTTATACCAACGGCAGTGTGACTGTGACTCCATATACAAACAGCAGAAAAAAAGTAGTAAATTATGACAAATATATGGGAACACCTAAAGAAATTCGCTTTATGACAAAATCAGCAGGTAAGTCTCTTGTTTGCTAACTGTCATGAACAAGGCTGGTGCTAAGAAAAGGAATATGTACTTTCTTATTGTACTTAATTGTACTCTTAGCCAAGAAACTGATTATCATCAGAATAATTTTATTAGCGTTCCTATCATTAGCGTTTCTTTTTTGATTTTGTAATGTTAACCTATTTTTAATTATGCATTTAATATTAATGTTGTTCTTATATCCTGTACACAGTAGATTTGTAGGAAAAAAAAGAATTCTGCATTCATTTTAAATGCTTTATAAGGTTTTAAGAAGCATTATGTCCCCACCTAAAGAAAAGTGTAAAATTTAACAAAAAAAGAATGAAAAACATTTGGGGTTTGTTTGTGGCATGAAAGATAAGATGTGCAGAATTTGCCTTCTGCTCTGTAGCTGCCTGTTTGCTCCAAGCAGACCTTTTACCCAGGCTGCACCAATACTGGTGAATGTACCAGGTTTCAGGTAGCTTGGTTATACATATACACAGTGGACTTCTAAGACTTCACATTGGGTTAATGCCAAAAGTGTGCCAACCCTTGTGCTGTCAGAAAGTTCTGTGCACATTTATGGGGAAAAGCCTACCCCTTTGGTCCTGATTCTTGTTTGCCGTGTATGCTCAATTGATAGCTAAAATTGAAAAGCTAAAAGAACACAACCAAACAACAAAGCAACACACTTTGCAAATGCTTTCCTGATGGAGAGAAGGTGTAATAGAAATGTGGTCCTTTCAATTTTGTTGGTGGTTTTTTTTTCCCTTTTAATCTTCAGGTGTAGAGCCTCGTACTTTTAAATTTCCTTCTCTGACAAAAAAAAGAACAAAACCACCAAAAAAACATGCTTATCTAATTTCTTCCTGTAGTTTCTTACCTCTAGTGGAACCAACTCCAGACTCAGCTGATACAGCTACAGGGAAACTATGATGATTTATACCAAGTTCATATTTCCATTAATTCCACTGAATATGCAAAAGATTTAATTTTTGTTAAGTGAAAAAGAGAATAGTATTTTTGTGCTAATGATGTAATGATAGTTTAAAGTGATGACTTTTTAAAATCTAATAGCAGAAATAATGAAATCTTTTGTTGCCTGTAACACTCCTGAAATGTATGTATGTAGAAATGGATATATAAGAGCATTAAATCCGACTGCTTTTTTAAAATCAATATGTTTCTGTAGAGCTGTGGGAAGTAAGGGGGCTCCTGACACACTGTTATTTTGAATAGCATTCCCTCTGTGGAATATATGGAGTTTTTGTATCCAGTTTTATAGACAATCCATGAAAACACTGTAACCTCCCTATTATTCTGGGTCATTGAGCTAACAAATTGTAATTAATATGGAAACATACAGGGGTATAAAAAAAAAATCACCTGAAGCCCGATGGGAAAAAAAGAGCTGATAAATAAACCAATTGATAATGCAAGTAATTTTATCTGAAACTTAACTTTAACAGATCATTTGAGCATGATCATAATTTTTCTGTCTGTGATAATCTAGTTTGAGCATATTAGATTTTGGAGCCTCCAGTTTCTGGGGCCTCACTGATATTTTGTTAACTCAAGTGGAGATTACAGTCCACAGTTCCATTATTTTTTAAGAAAATAACAAGTTGTTTGCCTTCATTAACTAGTGGTATTTATTAAACCTTCTCTAAATGTTACAACAGTTGAAATAATGATCAAGCAGATAGTGGAAGAATTCTGTGTCTTCTTGAACCAGAGAGTGTATCAGTAGAAAACAACTCATTGGAAGTAGAAAAAACCCCTGCATTTTATATTTATTTTTTTTCATCTTCAACAAAAACATTGCCTCAAGAATGTTCACTTTGTCCTTGTCACAGCTCTTTCAGTAGCATGTTGAATAGAAATATGACAAATCTGCCTTATGGATAAAAATGAGCAGATAGGTTGTAACTGTACATTCAGCCAAGTAAAATATCCTGCCATGTCCCACATGGGTTATGTGATCTGCTCACACAACTTAGCTCTTCATATGAAGAAAAAAGCAACTTCTAAAAATTTTTTTAAAAAAACAATCACCAAACCAAACCATGCTAGTGATTGAAGTGATTTTGAAGAACATTTCTATGGTGGCATTCTCCTGAGATGTGGAAATGTGACTAATGGGGCTGCCTTACTTTGTTTTATGAAAGGTTTTATAAGCTCTCAATGAAAGGTCTCTTGGGCTGTGCCCCATATGCTATAACATAAAAAATTCAAGTTAGAAAGCACAAATCTGACTTAACAGATTTCTTATAATTAAAAAGTAACAAGTTTGTGGTGTTTTCAATGCTTTAATCTAAAGGTTGCTATTTCAAATATAAAAATATACTAATAACTTCTGGTAGGAAATTTCATACAGAAGTTTTGAAACTTATGCAGAAAACTGTTTGTTCCCCTGTATTGTCAGTTGTCCCGTGTTCCTCAAATGGGACAGTGATATCAGACACAAGAGAGCTGCCATCATATTATATTTGCAGCCTGGCAGTAGAGCTCTGATCTCCCCAGCCTTTTCAGTTCCACTGTGTATCTCTACCAGTTCAGATAAGCCTATGGTCAGCTCAAAATTTACCTTGTTAAATTTGGACTGAAATTTTTAAGAAAGAAAAGGTAGGAAATTATTAAGAGAGAAGATAACAAAGAGACATGAATACCTACAGCTATTGAAATGTTTGATTTGAAATGATGAGAAACAGTCACACTTCTTTTGTGAACAGAACCACAGCCAGTGATTGCTGTTGAGGCAATACTGACATCTGATAATGCTGTCTGGATTAAGTGCAAAAGTCAAAAAGTGTATGGAAAAAAAACAGTATTTGAATTGACTTTTGGAAATGATGGAACAAGTGACCGCAAAGAAAATGATTGTGATTTTAAAAAAGAAAATCTCTTTTACTTGACAAACTATACATTTACGGTAAGTAGGATTAGTAAATTAAATATATAAAATATTGCTGTGTTTTCATTGTTTAAGTGTATTACACTTGATTTTAGGGAAAAAAGGGAAATATGGTGGCAGAGGAGTTAATCTATGGATCTGTAGGCCACAGATGTAAAGAAGTAACTCTAGCCTATCAAGGAATCCCTTGTGTGCTATTCCACTTACATCTAACAGCATGAAAAATACAAGCTGAATAGGTTGTACTTGGGGCAGAGCGAAATCTGGGGTTTCCATAACTTTTAAAATAGTTTAAAAAGTTTTAAAATGTGTCTTTTGTTTTACTAACTTTTTCCCCAGTTATCTACATATTTTAGATCTTGCTGTAACTGAGGTGGAAACCTGATCTGTGCTATAAATGGCTATAGAAAGGTTGACAGTGGATCCTGCTGTTATTGAGGTTGATTCACTGAAAACAGATGGATGTGTTTTGAATATCCATTGTGTTTTGCTTCTTTAAAAAATAAAAACCCATATAAACCCCCTATGCAGAAATTTTTACCTTTTATATCTTAACATCTCTTATTATTCTCTTCCAACTGCATGCAGATCTTAGTGGATAATGGAGAACATAAAGGGCAGCCAGTAAAGAAGAGTATAAAAACTAGATGTAAGTAAATCTATGCAGCATTTTTACTTTTAGACTTTAGCATAGTATAGAGTAGTAGTATAAATTGTGAATTCCGTTACAATTGCACCTACTTAAAAATCCAAACTTCCTGTTTTTTAGGTAATGGTTATTCTGTATTTGAAAAAATATCATCATTCAGTATTAATATAACAGATCATGTTGAAAAGCAATTGAATGTAACTCAGAATTATTACACAGCTGTGGTTTCTTCAGGAAACACTTACATAGACTAGAAATTAATTTCTCTAATTTATATTATCCACTTTAGGATTATTTTACTGTGTTCAGATCCTGTGTTTCAGGAGCCAAACATCTGTGTCAGGGATTCCCAACTCCCAGATCAGGAGCAGCTGAGAGCTCCACTTCTCCGCTGTACAGGTCTCAGAGAACAGGAGACAACCATGGTCATGCTGAACCAGGGAGTGAGTTGTAGCAGTTTGACAGGTGGACATGTAGAGTTGAAGTGAAAGTTTTCATAGTGAAGAAAATAAATTTCCCTCCCTTTCTGTGAGCTTAAAATATTTTGGCACTTTGGCATAACAAATTTAAGCTAAACAACTAACAATAATTGTTTAGTCCTTTTCAGAAAAAAAAAAAAAAAAAAAAAAAAGTCAATAAGCCCTGGTTCTAGGAAGTATGCAGATTATTTTTTTTAAAAGGAGGGCAGGGGAAATGAAGCAATTTTTACGTGCCATTAATTGTGTATTTAAAAAATAATAACTGTATTCTTTTTCTGTTCCTAGATAATTCTAAGGCCCTGATTATATTCTTGGCATTCTTAATCATTTTGACATCAATTGCTTTACTACTGGTTCTCTACAAAATCTATGATCTTCACAAAAAAAAGCTCAGGTATGTTTCATTTTCTTCTCCCTATCTTATATAAATGTAACTGGGGGGAAGGGGAACTTCATGGTTTTCCACAAGATTTCCCAGTAGGTAGTGCAAATATGTTACAGGTTTTATATTTCATTAATGCTGAGAAAAGACATCTTTTTGATCCTTTTGAAAGAAACTTAGTTTTTGGTGGTTTAGGAAGTATGCAGATTATTTTTTTTAAAAGGAGGGCAGGGGAAATGAAGCAATTTTTACGTGCCATTAATTGTGTATTTAAAAAATAATAACTGTATTCTTTTTCTGTTCCTAGATAATTCTAAGGCCCTGATTATATTCTTGGCATTCTTAATCATTTTGACATCAATTGCTTTACTACTGGTTCTCTACAAAATCTATGATCTTCACAAAAAAAAGCTCAGGTATGTTTCATTTTCTTCTCCCTATCTTATATAAATGTAACTGGGGGGAAGGGGAACTTCATGGTTTTCCACAAGATTTCCCAGTAGGTAGTGCAAATATGTTACAGGTTTTATATTTCATTAATGCTGAGAAAAGACATCTTTTTGATCCTTTTGAAAGAAACTTAGTTTTTGGTGGTTTGTCTGGCAGTGCAAATGCAATGAAATAGATTTCAAATCTCTCTGCTATAGCCTTTCTTAGGGTACATAAGATTTGTTGTCACTAGTTTTTTTAAAAAATATTCACATATTTCTTCAACACCTTTCCTTCACGATTTAAGTTAAAAATAATGAAAATAATGCACATTTCCTTGGAACTCTTTCAAATGCATATTCACCCAAAACAATACCTCAAGGAGGCTTTGTTTATCACTGTCATCTCCAGGTGTCTTTGCAGTGCTGTAGGGCAGTGGGTGGCAATAGAGGAATGGCCATTTCCTTCCCTGATGGCTGTGCTGGGGCCCTGCTTCTAGTGTTGTGAAGGCAGGTGTTGCCATGTGTGAGGGAGCATTTGCTGCTGTTAGAGGTGGAGGAGATAGGGCAGTTTTTTCAAAAACCTTTCAACCTTCTGGCAACAGCAGAACCTGGGAACTCCTTTCCTCACCCTGCTGTTCCCCTTCTGGGACAAGGAGGTGCTAGAGCTCAGATGCAAAATTTTATGCTTAGGGAAGCAAACCTAATTTTTGCTTTTACAGCTCCAAAGAGTCTAGCTTGTTCTTTACTAGTTAGCCTTTAAACTTGATTTCACTGTATTTTATGTGGTTTTGTCACTTATTTGGCAAGAGAAAAAATACAGTGTTAGTAGTCACCTCAGTTGAAGAAATTAAAGTTTTGTTGGCTGCAGGTGATATGGACAAAATTATGCAAGGGGTAAAGCTGTTGGATGTACTTTCCTTTTTCCTCCCCCTCAATAGTGCTCAGAGTAGGAAGACAAGGATCCCAACAACCTCTGTGTAGGGTCCGTAAATCCTTGTTTCACAGAGCTTGTAATGCAATCTGCTGGTTATGGGCTATCTTGGTGTCCACATACAGAACTGCTTTTACTTAACTCAGTATTGTATACGTGTCTTACTAGTCAAAGCTTTTACAGATGCTTTTGCTTCTTCCAGCAGTTCTTCTGAAGGTGTGAACCTTGTTGAAGGTGAGTATCTGTTTATTAAGTGGAAGTAAAATTAGTCACATCTTGCTGCCACCTTGGATTTTTTACCTTCTAGGTTGTATACAAAGGTTAGAGATATCAACATGATAACACCTCATTCAGAGGGAAAAAACTCAACACCAGTAAATACATATCAGAAGTATTTATACTGAAATGAAGTGGAAGTGTATAAGTGTTTGAAAAACTCTTTTTTATTATTTAATTGCAAACCAAATTTTGTTATCCCAGACAATGGGTGTGGTACATTTAACCCTGAGAGTAATTCCAGAATCAAATCCAGCTTTAACTAACTTTGCCCTTTTCTGCACACCTTTTTCAAAGCAAAAATTTAGACACAAGACATTAGCTTTTTCCTGCAAAATTTTGAAGGCTTTCAAATCCAAAAACTGAAACTGAACATGGTGTGCAAATTTTTGCACAAGATTTCAAAGCTCATGAAGAAAAACAGAATCAGCCAGTACCAGAAAACTTCAAGAAAAAAAATAATTTATGAGATTCAAGCCCTCAATAAGAAAATGTATGAAATGGGAATTAATACTGTGTTGATACTCAAAAGCATTTGCTTAGACACATGGTTGTTAAGAAAATATTTTCAACATAAATGAAAATTTAATAAATATCTACTTAAAGATTTTAAAACTTGTTCAATCATTACTTTATCATTACAGGTGGTATGACAGTTTATTGCAATTCAGAGAATAAGTTGGATAAAATTTAGAAAAGCAGGCAATACACGTTGTTACATTTGTAGGTTGTTTGCACAGTAATCCACTTTAACACTGACAAGAAATAATCAGAATTGAAGTAGAGGACTTGGCCATGTAACTGTCATGGATTTTGGAGCTGTTGCTGTGACCTGCATGTGACAATCACTGCTTTGTACAAAAGGGCTGTTAATGTCATGTCTCTGCACGTGGCCTCCTCCTGTGGTGTTTTCAGTCAGGTGGCAGTTCTGTTGTTTCCTGGCATGGCCTCTCATAGATGGCCTGGGCAACAACTTGGATTTTTTAGAAAAGTATGCTTAGTTAAAATAAATAGGTTTGTCCTTTTGTTAATGTATCTGATAATTCAAGAATCACATTTACTGAAATGTAATTGACATTTTAAAAAGTCAGCCAGGATAAATGTTCAGTGTATTTACACAGTTAAAGATGATGACAGACAGCTTCTGAACATAGAGCCAATACCTTCAGAGCAATTGCTGGACACATACAAGAGGAAGATTGCTGATGAAGGAAGACTTTTCTTGGATGAATTTCAGGTTTGTCCTTGTCTCAAAATTTTTAGCCAGGTGGTTGGAAAAATTCTTTTCAGGAGCATGTTTGAAGTATATGGACTGATTATAAATAAATTTTTTTTAAAAGAGTCTAAAAAGTTGAATAAATTCTCATCTAAGGTCAAACAGGTTTCAGTTAATTTTGCTACCAGCCTCTCCTCATAAGATAACAGTACTTTTTTTTTTTTTTTTCCTGAAGTTTTTTTTTCAGCAAAATTATAAAATACACAGTCTAAATACTTATAATTCTAAAGTACCTTTTAATGCATGTTTTTAATACTCTCACAGCATAACCATTGGGATATTAGTTTTATTAAGGGAAAATAAAATATTTTTATTTTAGATACAAGAAATAGATGAAGTAGTATAATGCAAAATACAATGTTATCTTCCTAACTCAGTAGTACAGAATTTCTTCTGAATGCATTTGACTGTAAGTAGAAGCTTTTAAATATATGCTTACTTAATAAGAGAAACATTGTATCTTACAGAGCATTCCTAGAGTTTTCACTAAATTTTCAATAAAGGAGGCTAAAAAGTGCCATAATCAGAATAAAAATCGTTACATTGATATCCTTCCATGTAAGTATTTGTTACAGTTTTTAATACTTTATAGATATTTGTTTTCTCAGTGCTTTGAGATAATACGATTATTTTGTTTTCTATTATCTAAACAGATGATCATAATCGTGTTGAGCTCTCAGAGATCCCAGGAGACCCAGGATCAGACTATATCAATGCAAGTTATATTGATGTGAGTCACTTAAAAAAATTCTTAGGCATCATTGAAGAAATTCTATAGTCTGTACATTTCATGCATCAAACAGCTTTGAGAGATTTCCGTTCGAGTTCTTTCCATCTTTGTAATATATTGGGTATTCTTGTACTGCCACACTTTGAATTTATTTTTAAAGTTGCATATCTTTTAAATTTTTCATGCCTCCTTTCTAAAAGTTGATAGCATTCTTCTTTTTATAGGGCTTCAAAGAACCAAGAAAATACATTGCTGCACAAGGTAATTTTTAACCTTAGTATGTTTTCTTTATTCACTCACTTTTTGTTAGAAAGTAGTAAAAATGTATTAGTAAGTTTTAAAAAAAAAGTGAAAATCTGACATTTTGAAATTGTTTGAAATTGAGAAAGTTACCAATGAGTTTTTGCTTAGGGAATTTTGTGAAGATTAATAAATTGTGCTTCAAAGACAGTTTTCTCGTGATGTAGAATTTTACACCAAATGTTTTCAGATTTCACAGCTATGCACTAAAGATATATACATAGTATATATTTATATAAATGTTGTAGCCTAATAGCAGCAGTCACAATGAAATAAAGTGTGTGGCTGTTTCTTGCTTTGTCTCTGGTTAGCTTTTCAGACTACACAACTAGCATGTCAAGAAAGCAAATGTTTTTTCATGTAGCTGCACTCTTTGAAAATCTCCCTTAAAATATCTTCTTCTAGGCCCAAAGGATGAAACCACAGATGATTTCTGGAGAATGATCTGGGAACAGAAGGCAACAATTATTGTCATGGTGACTCGTTGTGAGGAAGGAAAGAGGGTGAGAAATATCCATCCATCTATGCTTCCATCCTTTCATCCTTCTTTTGTCTGTAAACACAATGGGTTGCTCTGCTGTGGTGAATTACATTTTCCTCTTAGTACTTTTCATTCTTTGCTGTTCTCTCATTGTGGCAGAACCTATGCTGGAAAGGATGCCAAAATAGTGTTGGCTTATGGAATTACCAGTCTTATCAGAAAATGTCACTTTAGCCACAGCTGTAAGTAGCAGAGAGTTAGCATCCAAATTACAGCTAATCAATCCCCAAAAGGGCTCAAGGTGGAACTTCAACTCCTCATAGACTTGTCATAAAAGTTATGGTCTGTATCTATTCCTGTCTGTTATCTTCTGATATCCTGGCAATGCCCTCAGTAAATGCTAGATATAACATTTTTTTAATCTGTTGTCTTTCCCTTCCTTCATCTGGAAAGTTGGGTGCTTTTGGCTTACTTTTGTTCCTTATTCCAATTACAGCAGGAAGAAGGGGAACTTCTGTTTTAAGTGCTTTTGAAGATGAAAAGTTTGGCAGCCTGCAGATTTACAACATCCTCAAGTTGATGTTATTAGGCAGGCAGGAGTTGTTCATTTTTTCAACTGGTGTACAGGATTTTCCCCCACTTTATGTTCCAAGTTAAATCTCATGGGCATAACCTTCAGGTCAGAGACATGAATTGTTGGATATCTTGAATTATTTAGCACTGACATCCTAAGCAGTGACAGCCTTCTCAGGAGAGGACAAGACCTGTGAGAAGTTGAAAACACTATACTGAATTGCTTTCTATTTAAAATCAGACATTCTTTGAGCTCTCAACTCTGCCGCTTTGCTGTCGTGCTGCTCTCCTAACTTCATATCTTCTTAGAACAAATGTGCCCAGTACTGGCCATCAATGGAGAATGGCTCTGCAACCTATGGGGACATCATTGTGAAGATCAATGAAAGTAAAACGTGTCCAGACTATGTCATTCAGAAACTACACATCACAAATGTAAGTTGATTCAAGTGTAGGACTTAATGGAATTGGGGTGTCTGTCTTGAGTATTGTTGAGAGATCCTTTTAAGGACAAGAGTCAGCTATCAATGGAAGTTGCTCTGCTGTTTTTCCTAAACAACATACAGTTGTGGAGAAAACTTCTTAGATGTAGGTGTCATTCCTTAGACAAAATATGAGTTAGACATATATTTCCCATCTAAAAAATGTATTTCCCTTAGTATTCTGGAATCTACATTTAAGAGGTAATTGTTAATATGCTGTTAAGTATGGGAAAGTTAATACACTGTGATTTCCTTAGATATTTAGCTTGTTTTTTAGCACAGAAATATTACTAGTTTATGTGTATCTCAGCATAACCTTCTGCAAGTATAATCTGTGTGACTCAGAGCACCATTATATGTCCTCGTGATAATTGTGCAGGGGGACAGTTACAAATTCTGATGCATTTATAAACATAATGGTTTAAAATTGGTATTTGGCTATTGGAATCATTAAGGCTGGTTAATTGCTCTTTTATACACCTGAAATCACAAGAAATTGTTCTGTATGCAATTGGGAAGAAAATTTGCCATCTCAAAATAAATGCTCCTCTCAGGCCCTTTGCCAAAATATTTTAGCGGGTAAACAGTGTAAGTCATAGCTAAAAGCATTAAGACTCAAAGAGGAAATCTGCTGACAGATCTTCAGCAAAATACTCGGGCTACAACAGATTCCACCTATCTTCATACTTAGAACTGGAAATCACTATTCTGCTGACTCATGTTGCATTAAAATTTACTCGGGAAGTGGTCTAATTAAAAGAACATTGTAACTAAGTGTGAAGACAGTGAGAATACCAGAATGTTAAGAATTAACTGTTAGCAAAGACACTGCTCATTGACTAGAACTTAGAAATGAGAGATTGCTGCAGGTTGACAGCTGATGTGTTTAGAGCTATTTGTTCTCTGTTAGTCTGACATAATATTAACAAAATTGATCCTTGTTGTAGAGCTTAAGAGTGATCCTTGGTAAGAAAGTGGAGACCTCTGCAGTTTTGATGGAATAGTGATGTAAAATTACGGAAACAATAACAAATAACTGTGAATAACTGTCATAAATGGATACTTCACTTTGAGTAAGAATTTAGGGGTTAATTACCAGGGAAATGCCCATATAGCCATACTAAATCTTGATCAGTAAAAGATTGTCATTGAGATGTTTTTCTCATTGTTTAATGATCATGGTTATTAAAAAATGTATGTACTCTGTTTAATCTAGCAGCAACACAGGAAAGTAAGACTCGAGACATGACAAGGCTTTAATCAAGTGACTTAAGACAGACAGTTTCATTGAAAATCAGAGGTCTTCTTCTATCTACTTCTAAATAGGAGTATAAGTTTCCTTTTTCTTTTTTTAAATATGTTGTACCCTCAGTAATCTACTGTAGGAGACATAAGAAAATTACCAGCCTGTACAGCTTGAAGGAAGCAGAGCTATAAACTGGCTAAGTTGTTTATGCATAGAGGGGAGACATGTTATACTCTGGATCACAGGCTAACCTGAGAAAGTATTTTTAGCAACACTTGGAAATCTCCTGTATGTCCTCTGTTGGAGTCATTGTGTGTTCCTGATTCATGCATATTTTAAAATTAAAATGGAGTATGAAAAATGTCATAACCTGAGAGACCATTTGGGTTACAACATCAGAACACACTGCTTGTAATATCTGCTTCAACATTTGATGACTATTGCCCTTTTTTCTTCTGGTTTGTATACCTGCACTTGATTTTGGCATTGTGTGTGTGTATATATATATATGTGTGTGTGTGTGTGTATATATGTGTGTATGTATATCTATATTAAAAACACCTTACTTCACTTTGTCTAGGGAAGAGAAAGGACAGCTGGAAGAGATGTAACTCATATTCAGTTCACAAGCTGGCCAGACCATGGAGTCCCTGAGGATCCACATCTCCTTCTCAAACTCCGACGCAGAGTTAAAGCTCTCAGCAACTTTTTTAGTGGCCCAATAGTGGTTCATTGCAGGTAAATATATATTGTTTTCTAAAAATGGTGTTAGTGTCAACTGAACAAGAAGTGAAGCTTTTCAGAAAAGGGAGCTGGCAAAGTTATTTGGCTGATCTCAAATTTTGTGACTTCATTACTTGAGGCAAAGATGCATAAAGAGGCCTGCTTTCTGAAGGATATTCAGGTTGCTAAAATCTGAGGATACAGGTACTTTTGGAAAGCAGCTAGATAAATGTAAGGCTACTCTGGCTATAAGCACCACTTTTGGTTAGCACTATTGGCCTTACTTTCATTGTAAGATATGTGAAATACAAACTCATTATTGTTTGTGTTACCAATTAATTTACAGCAAGAACTATTTTCAGTTGCTCCCCTCAGAGTGAGACTGGGAGTTGCCATTCCCTCACGATAACCAAATCCCTTTGTGCTTTGCAGTGCCGGTGTTGGGCGCACTGGGACATATATAGGGATTGATGCCATGCTGGAGGGGCTGGATGCAGAAGGCAGAGTGGATGTTTATGGCTATGTTGTGAAGCTGCGTCGGCAGCGGTGCCTCATGGTTCAAGTGGAGGTATCTCACTAAAACTCCTGTCACTTACTACTCTCCTTTGCTAGGGCAACCTCAGTATTTCTCAGAAGTGTGCTGCTCAGTTTTGGGTTCTGCTACAGGTCAGTTTGAGTTGTACATTGAAGATATAGCTCTGAAAATATCAAGAGAGAAAAACTTCCAGCATACTTTTTCAGTTTTAAAAGCTGCCACTTTTTAAGTTGGGGCTTTAAAAAAAAACCCAAGAGGAACATTTTAGATTTGATAATGCAGCTTTTTTTGGCATACAATTCACAAATTCAAAATCAAGCTTGCACAATCAAACTTAATATTTAAATTCTAAAACCTGTCTGTCTAGTTAGGATATTCATTAGAGCTGCATGTGCAACAAAAGTTATGGACTGATGCAATGCATGCTTTAAAATTATTTAAGCATTTTGCAGATCTTTTAAATCTCAGTTGCATATTTATTGAATGACACTACATTTATTTGCAAGAGAGTTTTCATTCAACAGACTAAGTGTGCTCCAAAATGTCTATCAATGTTAATGTGTAATATTCTTAAATCACACAGTGGGAGTAATAATTTCGTAGTTTCATAGAATCTGTTGAGTTGGAAACGACCCATCAGGATCATTGAGTCCAACTCCTATCTCTGTGTAGGGCACCCCTAGAATCACACTATGTGCCTGAGAGCATCATCCAAACACTTCTTGAACTCAGGCAGGCTTGGTGCTGTGACCACTTCCCTGGGGAGCTTGTTCCAGTGTTCAACCACCCTCTGGGAGAAAAACCTTTTCCTGATATCTAACCTAAACCTGCCCTGATTCAGCTTCCTGCCATTTCCCCAAGTCCTGTCACTGGTCACAGGAGTGAAGAGTTCAGGACCTGCCCCATCTCTTCCCCTTGTGAGGAAGCCACAGACTGCAGTGAGGTCACCCCTCAGCCTCCTCTTCTCCAAGCTGACTAATCGAAGTGACCTCAGCTGTTCCTCATATGACATCACATCCAGCCCCTTCACCATCCTTGTGGCTCTCCTGTGGACACTCTCCAATAGCTTGATGTCCTTTTTATATTGTGGTGCCCAAAACTGCATGCAGTGCTCAAGGTGAGGCTGCACCAGTGCAGAGCAGAGTGGGACAATCACCTCCCTCAAACATCTGGCAACGCTCTGCTTGATGCACCCCAGGACACCGTTGGCCCTCCTGGCTGCCTGGGCACACTGCTGACTCATCTTCAGTTTGCCATCAACCAGGAAATCAAGACCCCCAGGTCCTTCTCTGTCATGCTTCGCTCCAGCCACTCATTCCTTTATTTGTACTTCCCATCAGGGTTGCCCTGTCCCAGGTGAAGAATCCGGCACTTACCCTTGTTAAACTTCATGTGGTTGTGACTGCCCATCTCTCTAACCTGTCAAGGTCTCTCTGCAAGGCCTGCCTGCCCTCAGGGGAGTTGGCAGCTCCTCCCAGCTTTGCATCATCAGCAAACTTACTTAGAATTCCTTCCTGTAATGTTTTTTAAAAGTGATTTGTTTTTATTTGTTTTTATTTTTTTACTCTTCCATAACTTCATTTTTAAATGCTTCTCATGGGAAACACCAGTCACAGTACATCCTTATCCATCAAGCCCTAGTGGAATACAATCAGTATGGAGAAACAGAGGTCAGTCTCTCAGAACTGCATTCCTATCTTAACAATCTGAAAAGAAAAGATCCTCTGAGTGATCCTTCTCTGCTGGAGGCAGAGTTTCAGGTAAATAAGCTTTGCATTCTAGTGCCCTTATCTCCCACTTACATTAGAAAGTGCCTTGACCAATAGTGCTGAGACAGGGATAGGATGCATAATATTCTGTGCTATTTTATTTCTCTGGCACAGAAAGCTTCTTTACCTTAAAGAAAAAGCTGCAAAGTAATGAAATTGTATTCCTGCTTGTAATGTTAATGGTTTTAACAAATATGAGGAGCACAGAATGATTACTTGTGTGTATGTGCATGATTTCCTGTGACATTTTACATGGTATAGCAGGCATTTTAAAGCTATAGTCCAGATGTGACCGAAGTTTAAAGAATTAAAGTAAGAAGTGATGTACTAGGAGATGAAAGCTGTGCGTGGGTGTCCAGGGAAGACAATGAACCCAGGAACTGTTTAAATTAAGCATGATACCAAGCATCCTCTTTCTTTAGAGATTACCTTCCTATAAGGGATGGCGGACACAGAACACTGGGAATCGTGAGGAAAATAAAAGCAAAAATAGGAATGCCAGTATAATTCCATGTAAGTATTTTCCATGAACTTTCCCTGTAATCTTCTGTAGGAAAACCTAAATTCTGAAAAAAAAGTAATTTACCTTACTGAAATGTATCTGATTGATTTTCTCAACACTGTAAAATTTGACACTTTTCATAGTGTTGTAGAAGAGATGAATTTTTAAAAATGTGAATTACTGGGAACGTTTCTTTCAAATGAGTGGACATTGTTTTGCAGTCTGTTTTAAAAGGACTGGCCTTTTTCTATCTATTTCCCCCCCTGCCCATGCAGGGACAGCCCCCCTCTAAAGCTGTACCTGAGCAGCAGTGTGGTGTGACAGTGACACTTTGTCTCGTGCAGATGACTTCAACCGAGTGCCCATCAGACAGGAAGATGAATGCAGTAAGGAGGGTGAACATGATTCAGAGGATTCCTCAGATGAGGACAGTGACCTTGAAGACTCAAGCAGATACATCAATGCTTCCTTCATAACAGTATGTGTTTCGAGAATCCACTATAAGTATTTCACAAGCTTTCAGCTAAAACTATGTTCCAGCTTGAGCTCTAATTCTCTTACTGGCTTCACAAATAGAATAAGATTTACCTGAGTAAGGGAGAAAGATCTGACAGTCAGTTGGCAAATCTGCTACAGATTTAATCTTCAAAATGTTCTACAATTTTCTGCAGTAATAAGATGAATCTTTTTCCTTTACATGGTCTTAGACTGTACAATCTCAAATAGTGAGAGCAAATATAGAAATACTTTTTTTTTAATGTATGAGTGTTATGTTTAAAACTGCTGGATTGGAAACTGGCCTCCCAAGAACCTGGTAATGCTTCTATTAGTGGGAATCTTCCCACAAGTTGATCCATATTAATATTTTCCCTCTTAGTGAAATCTGTGTATAGGTACTCACATATACAAAACCATACTAGTGAAGATTGGGGCCATCAGTTTTTTGATAATTTATATGCCTCCAAAAGAAAGAGAGCAGTTATTAGTCACTCAAGAAGTAACTGGTTTTAATGGAATTACTAGCTAAATTTGATTTTTATGAATCCTTTAAAATGTTCTACTCTTAGGATATTTATTCAGAGTAAATGTACTTTCCCTTTGGGTAGCTCCATGTGAACTGACTGGTGCACCAGCTTTGTGTGGTATAAACTCAGTTTCTTAGTAGTCAAATTAGACAGCTATGTAACATTAAATATTTTAGCCCTTAAAACTTACGTTTTGCAGAAAATGGCTGGGTAAGGCCTCACCCACTGCAGCATGAGTGTACCTTGTTGTCAATCTGGAAGTGATGTTGCTGTTAGGACGATTGAGTTTAATGTCATTTGGCTCGTAGAATTCCTGTAAGACCATTACCTACTGTGGCAAGCATATTTTTCCTATAAACAAAAGAGTTAATTTGTTTATTTCACTGGGTATTCTTTAAGTGTCAGTGAGTTCTGTTGCTTCATGATCACATTTCAAAGGAATATAAGAGAAAAATATTAAACATTTCTCTTTCAGGGTTACTGGGGTCCAAAAGCTATGATTGCTACACAGGCACCACTGCAGGAGACTGTCTCTGACTTCTGGCAAATGGTTTTCCAAAGAAAAGTCAAAGTCATTGTTATGTTGACAGAGCTGAAAGAAGGAGATCAGGTGAGGGCACTGGCTTCACACTGACATAATAATGGTCTTCTATATAAAAAGAAAACCCTGCACCACACTCTCTCATTCCCTTCCTTCAGTTAAGTGTGTTTCATAGGATGAGGAATTTGGATTTCCAATATTTCTATTATTTACCTTCATAATTTACTTTCTGATTACTTTTTGAGGGGAAGAATGTATGATGATACATTTGAAAATACAATCCTACTACTTTGAAGTCAATGCATTCTGTAAAGGCATGTGGAAGATAAAATAAATGGAAGTTTGAATGGTAAGCACTGACTTGTACTGTTAACCATTTTAGGAGCTCTGTGCACAGTACTGGGGAGAAGAAAGACAAACATATGATGGCATAGAAGTTCAAATGACAGATGTCAACTCTTGTCCTAGCTATACCACACGAGCATTTGATGTTACACATCTGAAGGTAAAAGTTTCTTTGCAAATTCCAAAAGGAAGTTTAAATTTGTTTTCTTCTTATAAACTTAGCCTAAAGAAAGTGAAGGGGCAGTTCCTGGTCTAAACAATGTCTACTGGTCTAAACAATGAAAAAATTTTTCTCTTCCAGACCAGCAGCCGATCACCATAAAAGCTGCAAATTAGCTCAGATTTTCCAGGTAGTGTGATTTTTGAGATGGTGGTAGTGGAGTCACAGAAGGTCAGCTGCCTTCTGTACTTTGAGCAAAGCTCGAATGTCTGCCCTGCTCACATCCATGAGGTAGAACTCACATCACCATGCAGTTCCTCAGGAATATTTCTTTTCTTTTATAAATCAGCTGCAGTAGATGTACTATGAGAACCTTTATTTTGACCTGAATATTGACTATGTCTCTGCTGCTGTTTTTCAGACAAAAGAAACACAGAAAGTGTATCAGTACCAGTATCACAAGTGGAGTGGCTTCGACATTCCGGAAAACCCTAAAGATTTAGTTAGCATGATTCTCAACCTTAAGCAGAAAATCCCAGCCAGACCAGTCACTGAGGACAACAGGAGTGCCCGCAGTGTCCCGCTCATCATCCACTGCCGGTGAGCCTCAGTTCAGCATATACCTTAACCTAGCTCTGAGTTCTGGATATACATGGCAACCACAATTTTGGGATGCCTGCCTTTTCCCATGAGCCTTTCCATGTGTCTGGAGGCTCTGCTCTCTGTAGAAGATTCCTTGAATTGCTCAAGCTTGCCCTTTTTAATTGCAGTGCTGAGAAGTGAGCACACTTCTATTTGGCAAGTGTGGCCTTGGAGTAGGTGGTCAGACCTAGCTGCTCTTGCCTGGTCAGAGTGCTCTTGTAGGATTTACTAATGAGGAGCCAGTAGAGCTTTCAGATTTGTCGCACACTCCAGTACATATGACCACTTTCTTAGGACCACTTCAAGGAAAAGCCTTGTGTACCATCTAAAACAGAAGATAATCCTGCTAAATATTTGTGGGACTGTAGGTCTGAAAATTTGATTCCTTTCTTACCCCTTCAGTGTTCCCATGAGATCCAGGTAGCCTCTAGATAAACTGTGTCTTGTGTGTTTCCTACAGATATTCATAATAATAATAATTTCAATCCACTAAAATATTTTTCTTTAAGTGTAATTATGTGACCTTTGAAATTAATCTAACATTTAGTCATAGGACTTGCTGATTTTACATTGTAAATGTACATTATCTTCTAGTGATGGATCACAGCAGACCGGTGTATTTTGTGCTTTAATGACCCTCTTGGAAAGTGCAGAAACAGAAGAAGTAATAGATGTTTTCCAAGTAGTAAAAGCTCTTCGTCGCTCCAGGCTGGGAGTGGTCTCCACCTTTGTAAGTAAAACTTATTAATTACTAGAAAAAATTATGTGTTTACTTATCATGGCCATTAATATCCTCATAACCTTACACAGCATTTCTGCATAGGGAGCATTAATTCTAATCAGGACATTCACAGTCACTCACCAGTGATTGGCTATTATGATAAGAATGAAGGAGTCAGTGAGATGTCCAGAGCTGCAGTTCTATAACAGCTTTGTTGAAGGGTGCCTATTAAAAAATTATAGATTTCATAAATGTATGTTTCTGCAGTTGCTTCAAGGGTGTGCATGCACAATGAATATTCCTTAACTTCTGCAGAGTTCTGAGGCTAACAGCCTGGTTTGTTTAAATCACTCCAGAGGAACTGTGTCTCTCTGGCATACACTGTGCATCTACTAACAAACCAGGCCTAGGTAACATCGATATGGGACAGGTGATTAGAGGACTTTCCTAGACTCCTTGCATTATGTATCATTTACAATGTAGGTACTGTAAAAAACGTATTTTTGGTACTTTGTGAACCAAGAAGGTGCTGAATGTGGAACATTGATACAGGCAGTTACAGAGGCATTACATGCACACAAAATCAGAATAAATTGCAGAAGCAACACTCTGTACGTCAACAACCCTGAAGGTGCTGCATATGCAGTCTTGCATGTTCACCTACATGTTGCATTTCTAAAATGTAAGAAGACAGAAAAAGAACGAGTTTATTATTGGGCTCTGAGCATTTCATTCATACTAACTTCTTCTCTTTAAGGAACATTACCAATTTCTGTATGACACGATTGCCAGTACCTACCCTGCACAGAATGGACAAATAAAGAAGAACAGCCAGCAGGAAGATAAAGTTGAATTTTGCAGCGAAGTAGAAAAAACAGATCAGGAAACTGATTTGATCACTATTGATCTTAGCCCATCAACGCCAGAGGAAAAAGTTATTTCTGAAGCTTGTGATGATTCTAAGTCTACAGATGGCACTAAGGGAACAGAAAGCTCTACAAATGGCCCCACAACTCCCATTGTAACTTAGAGGCTATCCTAAGACAAAACAAAACAAAGTTGTTGTTTTTTTCATCTGCAAAATAATCTTAAAGAAAATAAGAAGTATACAATTTCTTCCTCTTCCTATGTTTTTTTTTGGAAAACATTTACTGTTATATCAGTTTTTCAAAGGTACAAAATTAAAGGAATACTTGAAACTTGTAGAGGTTGACAAAGAACTGTGAAAGGTAAACTTTTTTGTAGATTTGCATTTAAAATTCTTCAGGAAACTTTTCACTATTTTTATACTTTTAAAAATATGTACAATGTAATGCTCTGCTGAGCAGTGAGAAGGAAATTTTTTGATGTCTGTAAGAAAGAGAAAAGCAACTCAGAACAAGATTAGTTCATTGCAAAAACAGGTCTGTCTTCAAAACTATCAGGAAGTCAATTAACCTCATTGATAAGTATATATTCTAGCATTTCAGAAACGTTGACCAAGCACTGCTTTAATGATTGTCTGTGGAACTTGTGGGACACTTTCAAACAGTTTTAAGACCTTATCAGTTACATCATGTGGCAATTCCAAGGAAATCAGACTTACGGAGAACCTGGAAGTCCTCCCATATGGGTATGGATATAATTTTTTGCAGTTTTCTGTCTTGCCTCAAGGTGTCCTTGTTGCCCCACATATAATAATCTGAGATACCAATGCTAGACTCATAGAGTTGGGAGTTTGGCATTTGAATCATTGCAACGATTCTAATAGAGAACACGTTCTGTTTACTTTTAGAGCTTAAAATACCGCATGCTTGCACATATTTTTATTTTTTTTTAGGCTTACTGTTATTTAAAGGAACTGCTCCCATGAACACATCTGACCTGTTTTCAGAATTGGAAAATACCTAGGTGCTTTTCCTCCAAACCTTATAGATGTTAATTGGTACAACTATTTTTTTAATTTTTTTTTTTTTATTATGAGGTTTTGTATGTTACAGTTCTGATATTGGTATTCTTTCTTGCTGCATTTTTGCCTGCTGTTTTTAGAACAAATAAAAAAGATAATTAAGAGTTGACAAGGTGGGAATTATTTTGTCCTATTGGACTCTACAAACTGATAATTTTCTAAATGCACAAAATCTTGTGCTATCCCATACATAGATAAAATGCACAAAATTCTGTAGGAAAACACCATTTAATTCTTATAATACTATGTGTGAAGCCAGGTAAGTGTCATGATCCTCTCATTACAGAGAATGGAAACTTCATTTTTGTTTTTCTTCAAGTCATTAGAGAAACAGTCAGTCAATAGATTGAGTGCTCCTGGTTTATCACTGCATATTCCTAATCTCTCTTTACGAAGTATAATTGAACACACTTAGCCAGGTAAACAACAGGCATGGGCATAGTTGGTTAAAATGATAATTTAATTTTGCTGTTACTTTAGATAAAATATTTTATTCACAGTTATCAGCTCAGACAAGTGCTTCCTGGCATTCTTGCTTGAGTAAGTGGCAGGAAACAGTCATAGAGGTAGTGGGATTCTCCTTTCACTGTCAGCTGAAATGCCTTTTTTAGCTGAAGTTGTGGTAGGTAACTAACAAAGCTGAGGGAGAAAAAGCTCATGAGACTAAATGTGAAAATAATCTAGAAGAATTGTAGGCCCAGAGCTTGTTGGCTATTTTTAGAGAAATGTGTCAAACTGCTAAATTTAGCACACCTTTGAAAATTGAAAGGATGAAGTGCTTTGGATACAGAGTGACTAACTAATGCTCGCTTCATGACAGACAGCAATTAATTTATTTTTCTTCTAAGATTTGGCCACTGTAAAGCCCCTCTAGCTCATTCAGGTAATAAAATAAAAAGGTAAGTGCAGCTACCTATTATAAGAATGTGGAGAGAGACTAGTCACACTTTTAGGAATGACTAAAAATGTTTCCAAATTCCAAAATTAGGCACAAATTTTCATATTGTGTAAATTTAAGGGTGCTCATACACTTCAATTCCTTGAAAAATGGTGTTGCATGTTTTTAAGCTCCTGCAGCACTTGGGCTGTAAAAATTCTGGAGGGTTTTCTTTTGCTGAAATTGTTTTCTAGAATATTTTCAATGTTTTTTGGCTGCATACATTAGAGAAAACAATGCATTCTAGGTTTACACTTGATTTGTGAATGTATTTTGAAAGAAAAGTCCTGAACTACGTTCAGTTTTTGCCTCATGCATGTCTTCGTTATTAGCCTAATAGAGAAACGGGCTTACATTAACAGTGCCCTCACCTGCCTAGTGTAAACCACTTTTGGAGTAAAAAGTTCCTTATAGTTGCACAGGGATAGACTGAGGTTTTAGCTTTTAATTATTTTAAAATTAAATAACACGCCAAACAATTAAATCTTATTAAATCCCAGTGTGACAATTAAGGTAGCCAGTCTTAACACACAGCTTAATTATTTTTTTTTTCCTCTAGGAACTCTCCATGTATGTATATACCAGGGACAGGGTTTTTTTGCCTTCTCTATTGTCAGCTGAATTTCAAAAATCCACGAGGTGGTGACACAGAGCTTGTAGAAGAAGGTAATTACCCTGAATGCTCCACAGTCACTTGGTTTATTCTCTTGCAGATTTAATTTTATGTCTCCCAGGAACACAGTGAAGCACAGTACCAGGTGAGGCATGAAGCCCAGGCTAATAAACTCTGCGAGGAAAATGCCCTGGCTTTGTTAGGGCAAGGCCAACATTGTAGCAGGCTGGAGACTTGGCATAGGTTGAAAGCTAATATACAAACAGGCAAAGTAAGATACAAAATGTTTACTTTCTCAGGCTGAGCTGCCTGAAGTCCCGCTTACCGCTGCCTGAAGCTAAGTTAGCTGTTGCTCAAAAGTGTTTTTAATGAAGTCCAGGTTAAAAAATAACTGAGATCAGGTGGAAGAGAGGACTTAGAGCAACAATTGAGGCCAATCAAGGGCTTTAGTGACCAGAGGGACTGAATTTCTCCCACAATTTGGTCGTTAGAAGCTGATACAAGAGTGGGTGTGGAAAAGTGACAGTGCTGTGTTAGCAGCGTCCAGCGTGTGAAGATGAGGGGGAGGAGGCATCTTGAAGTCTCCACAATATTCTGCATGGTCAGGTAATTGCAGTGGGGAATGAACTGTGTGTTTGCTCCTGTTTAGATTTTTAAATGTTTCTTGTGCTCTGTATCGAACAAGAGCGTTCTATTAACATCTTTTCCAGAGACTGTACATTATGAGCATCAGCCACGTCATGATTCTTGCATTCATATAAATGTTATACAGCACAAAAAGCATCCTGCACACGGAGCTGTGGCGATCAGGAATGCTGCTGGAGGTGACAAAGGCCCGTTGCTTTCCCGCAGCCCCGCTCCCAGTGCTGCGCGGGGCTCCCGCGGGATGCGGCGGTGCCGGCTCCTTTTCCAGCCGGTACGTGCAGCCCGTGCCCGTGACCTCGGCCTCTCCACGCCCGATGGGCTCCCGCTGGGGATGGGAGCACCTTCCTCGCCGTGCTCCCTCGCCGTCCTCCGAGCTGATCTGCTGGGAAGAGGCTGGTGGCCACACGCAGGAGCCCCAGGGGCGGGACAAGCCCGGAGAGTCCCCGCCTGGCCCTGCCCCGCCTCTCGCTGCTGCCCTCGGGACGTGGCCTGGGCCGGGGAAGCCGGCAGTTCTGCTGCCAAACAGAAAACCTGAGGTAAATCTTCTGTCAGAGGCTCAAGCAGAGCTGGATAGCGAGCCTGTGACACAGGGGGCTGTTGAAGCTGGGAGCTGTGAAGTAAAGTACTGACATTTGTTTGTGTGCGATGGCAAAGTAAGAGAGACTAGTGGCTCAAGACAGGTGTCTCATTAAGCTAGAAATTATGTCCTTTGTTTAACATTCCTCAGAAAAAGTGTCTGGTAGCAAAGCCTATCTCTTTGACAAGGCATCTTGCTTTTGTAAAGGACCAATTTTTTGACACTGTACATTCTCCAGATTGCCTCTACAACAGTATCAGAAATTCCCCGAGGGCTCTGCACAGCTGTACCACAGCTGGTTTTCCATACCTAAAGCAACTGTTTGCCAAGAACCAGCGTGCTGTGTTTTTGACTAGAGAAAACCAAAGTAGAAGAAAAGGAAAGTTTCAGTTACAGAGTACAGCACATTTCTATATGCATCGGTTCTGCTTCAGAAAAAATGCAAGTCTTCTGAAGAAAAACAAAATCCAATAATTTTAAAGGTACAGCAATGTAGAAATAAAGTTTTAAGCAGAAGTATTATAAGTTAATCTTTCTTTTCAATGCAAATGAAGGGAAGATAATGGCTACAAAAGTGTTAATCAAGTTTCTACTAAAAAGATCTTCTTTTTAGGGACAAAAAAATTAATTGGTGAGAAAGGATTCTTAATGCAACTTATTGTAAAATATTTATCTTATTGTTTTAACCTTAGCGAAAAGCAGGATTTTATTTAATAGTTATGTCCTCAGACTCAGGATTGTCATCATCAGCAATGGATAATGTTACTGAATTTTTGAAATTAACATAATAAACATTTTTTGGAGGAATTGGCATATAACTATTTACAGCTGGGTTGTCTCTAGAATCACACAGCTGCACACCACTGTGGCTGGCAATACTAATGTAGTCAAAAGTGCAACTGTCTGACATACAGAGGAAAAAATAAAAAGGGAGTTTACTTTGGACCAGTTTTAGCACTCCATATAAATTTTTGGTTTTGGAGATGAAACCTCAGGATAGCCTGACCTTGCCTGGCGGTTAGCTGGGACACAGAGCTCTCACAGATCAATAGTCCATAGAGGCCTTGGGGTGGATGTGGAGTATTTTCAGAGCTTACCCGCCAGGCTGTGCTGAAACTCTTCAAATGCCCTTTGCTTTGTTCGGTGCTTACTCCATTTCAGTTCTGTGGAGCCATCTGAGGTAATGAAGATGACATTTGTTTATACAACACTGCAGAGATTGTGTCTATCCAAGACCAAGCATTAGTTCAGAGTGAAGGAGTGTGTGTGTGCCTGCGTGCATGTGTGCCCATGTGGGACTCGCAGCCCTG